GACAAACTCCCCCAAAGCTCAAGTATCATAAGCCAACCCAGCAATGACCAGAGAGGGATTTCTCGGACCATTGCTTCAGGAATATGTGTTAGGGGTAGCAACTGCGGGGCCGACAAGGAAAGTGTGGAACGGAAAACGAAGTCCACCCGTGCGTGTACATACTTGAGTACACCTCAAAGATACGACGACAGTTAGAATTTGAAGAAAATTCCGGGAAAAATTCTCTTTCCTAGTATTGTACACGTTAGCATAGATAGAAAATGGGGTCTCAAATTGATTGAAGTAGCGTGTTGACGAGACGTTAAACCTCCTTTATATCCCACCTTACACCCTTAGAGAATAATTACCCCTGTTTGGCAACTGTGGAACACGGTAAGATTATCGGCAAGAAAAATCCCAAACCAAGAAAAAAACACCAAACAATGACAGACCATCGCTTAACGTGTTCTTTTACAGGAGAGTGTGTGTGATTTATTTAAACAAACATTATTGTGTAAACATCGGGCGATGATGAATTTTACTGTCATAGAAAAATATGAACAGCGTGCTGTGACTTCTTAAGGAGGAATAAATCGACTGGTCTGCGACAAATAATTTTGCTCGTATGCACTAGCTTTCACATTCCACCCTTCAAACATACAACAAAGGCTCTCAATCTAACCAATTTCAGTAATTCGTTCTCGAGGAAGATGAAATCGTCCTTGGAAGCAACCCTAATGAAATCGATGACACTATTTCAGAAACTGTCATTCTTCGTAAGATTCATTTCTGCTAATCGAGTGGCAGACGACATTTGGCTGAAATGTATGTCAGCGATAGAGAAATCGAAGTCGTTTAATATATTGCATTACAGCTAATGACTATCATGTGAAATACAGATCCCTTAACTTCCTGTTTGTGACATGTACACGTCAATTATTACAATAAGTATGGCCGATGAGAATACTTCTATGTAGAAGTGCATTTCTACTTTCGATTATTTTCTTATTTTTTTACAATTTCAAAACGTCAACCGTGAGATTTTACATGGAAGATATTGCATACTTCAAAACTGTACAGAGAAAGTTCAGTATGTAATAACTGGAGTGGCATATGATATATTTAGTGCGGTCCGACAAAACGGATTTTTACAAAAAGTATAAATCTGACATGAGATGAAATATCATAGAAGATTATCCTTAAGAAAATTTAATACCCTCAAACAAAATGAACCACTGATTACCGTCATGAAGGACTGATTCCGGACATGAACGTCTGATTCCGGACATGAGTGACTGATTCCGGTCATAAACGACTGATTCCGAACATGAACGACTGATTCCGGTCATGAACGACTGATTCCGGTCACAAATTAACTATCCACAAGAATAGAAGAGAAAGCGGGGTGGCGCATCTGTAAAATAAGTTCTGCCTTGTTACCCCAAATATACTATTAAAAAAAAGTAGGGGATATTTGATTTTGGGGGCATAATACTAAAATATGCAAATGACTACGAAAAAAGTCACTATAGAACCTAACAGAAGAAACATTTCCAGTTACATGTGACGCCCAAACGCACCAATAACTACCGCATGGAATGCAGGTGATGCTTGGGATCATCATGGGGGTCCAACCCAAGATTTGCACGACTCTGACTTTGAATGTTACAGTCATTGTGGCATTGAATTCCAGGGTGGAAACATCAGTTTAATTGTTTTAGTGACCAGAAAACAAATTTTGATATGCGTCGGCTTACCCGAAATGAAAGGTTACGTGCCCTTGGCATGCTACAGATCGGCACAACACAGGCGGTTGTGGCGCGGACGATGAATGTTTCTCAGTCTGTCATAAGCAGGCTATGGTCCAGATACCGTGATACACAATCTGTACAGGACAGACCACGCTCAGGTCGACAACTCAAGCCCAGGATCCATTTATCCGTACCTTGGCCTTGAGAAATCGTGTCATCACAGCAAATCAGATCAGCGCTCGTCTTCAAACAGACACTGGTGTGAGAGTGAGTGGCCAGACGATTCGGAATCGACTGCATAGGGGTCACCTTCGCGCCCGACGTCCTCGCGTGATCCCTTGTTTGAGTGATCATCACATTCAGGCAAGACGTCGTTGGTGTAGGGATCGTCAACACTGGGATAATCGACGCTGGAACAATGTGATGTTTTCAGATGAGTCAAGGTTCACTGTTGATTTTTTGGACAGACGTAGGAGGGTGTGGCGTCGTCGAAACGAGCGCTTCCAAGACGTTAACGTCATGAGACATGATCGATTTGGGGGTGGTTCTGTTATGGTGTGGGGAGGCATCACTGTTGCTGGAAGAACGGCTTTACATGTTGTTGCAGGGCGTGTTACAGGCCAGTACTACCGGGACAACATCTTGGCAGTCCATGTTGTGCCGTTCGCACGACGTCATGGCCGCCGTTTCATCTTCCAGGATGACAACGCAAGATGTCACAGGGCCAGGATCGTTACAGGTTACCTCCAACAACAGAACATCACCACATTACCTTGGCCAGCACTGAGTCCCGACCTCTCCCCCATCGAGCATGTCTGGGACATGCTTGGACAGAGGTTACGTCAACGTCAACAACGTCCTGCCAATGTCCAAGAACTTGCTGCTGCGTTGCAACAGGAATGGGACAATCTGGACCAAAATGACCTTAGACGTCTCATTAGGAGTATGCCACGTCGGATCAATGCTTGTTTGGCAAACAGAGGAGGATTTACCCGTTACTGACTTGGTTGTGATGCTGTGGTAACTTTGCTGTTTGACCCCGGGTATCATTTTACCCTTATAATGGTCAGTCTGTGCCTTACTTAGTCTAACGATCATTTGGAATAAATCGATGAATGTGAACTTCATTTCATTTTCTCATTTGTTTCTTCGTCAGTTTCATTAGGTGACTTTAATAACACTTAAAAATCAAATATCCCCTACTTTTTTTGAATAGTATATAATATAAACAAGAAGACTTACTCGTCAAGTCCCACGTTCTTGTATACCAAAATTGTGCCCGGAAGTAAAAACGGGAATAAAGGGTGACAGAAGAGTCCATTTCAACATCATTTCCTCAATTGCATTCGGCGCGGCATAAAATATTACAAGAGTCTTTAGTACAGAAGTAAGTAAGTAGGGATACACTACCCAACGGACGCAAAACTACAGACACCACCATTATAACTAAATTGAGATATAGTTTTAACACAGAAAAGTACAACAAATATTTGTGTGTGGAATCAAGTTTTCTAGAAAGAGTAGGCAGATCTTGTCCGGTGTTCGCCGAAACCCTTTCTCCCGAGCAAAACATTGGTATCCATGGTTCGTAAGCTATGTGTGAGTTAACTGGTTTATAATGATTGTGTTTTGACTACAATGATGGTCTGGTCGTGTCCTAGTTGAGTTAATTATGTTGGTGAAGATTAAGGACTACGATCGGGTTCTGATGGCATTCTGCTATATTGTCATTGTTGGTGACAGTTGTTTTGGTTGAGATGGGTTTTGTTGGTGCAGATGGTGTTATTGTGTTTATTACTTTTTATTATAGTAAGTTCGGGTGGGTGGGTGACGGGGTGCACGCACTACACGTACGTGGTGTAGATGTTCAGGTGAGTTGGTATCCACATGGATAATGCTTGTAACGCACATGACCCTTTGTTACAGTCCATGTTACACAATCATGCCATAATTATAGACAATAGTAGACGTAAACACCTTACAAAGATATCGATTACACCATTTGAGAGGTAAGATTCTAACCTTCCTGTGCGTCAATTTCTCCCCTTCTTCCACCCCACCCCCAATAGAAAGCAAGACCAGATCAAAATGTGATACTCTACGATTGTCCGATGTCCGAGATCAAAGTCAAAATCCACTTATGGGGGCTGGATCCAAAAAAGATGTAGAACAAATCCTACAACTGCCTTTGTTGATGGTGTTCGGAATCGACTTAGGTTGGTATAGATTGTGTCCAGGTCGGGTGATACTCTTTAGCTGATGTTTGTTTGGCCCAAATGATATTCTGATTGAACTGATTTTAAAGAATGGCTGGATTCAGAAAGGATACTATTGACCACAATGTCGTTGGTTTTCAGACAAACGGATGTTTTGTGTGAGTTTTGTTTTTAAATATTTTGATCAGTTAAGTTTACACTGTTTATTTTCAAATGCGATCATACATTTTGTTGTTGAGCAATCTAATTGTTTGTCCTGGTTGACTTGGAAACATGCTTTCAGTCAATACCAAATAATGTAAGCGTCACGGCTTTTGTAACATTAACCCAGTGCAGTAGCTACGGACATGGGAAGTTGCTCTAACATAACAGAATTATTAGCCTCTTAAATTGATCAAGAGTTGTTTCGTGATATTCTCATTTGAAATGAATAAAATGAATTCTTTAAAAGTTCATCAACCGTAAGAGGTTAAGTGGTTTTGAATAGAAAATATAGTGCTACAAATTGCTAGGTACACACGATGTGTGAAATCACCAGAGTAATGCAAGTTGGATCAACAAACAAGACAAAAGTGCTAATAATGACAAACGCATACCTGAAAGGGCACCCGCAGTTTTGTAATAACTAGTGATCGATCCATTTTGATCATGCTTTTAGTAATATAATGTAAAGCCGATCTATTTCCTTGCTACGTAACGTAGTCAAACACCTATCGCATTATCTTACGCCTAATGTTTCACTCCGCCACGCGATTTGTTTGTCGCTTAATACCAAGGGCATTTTAGATGCTACATAATTGGACATGGATTTGTGTGTGCGATATTTGTTTAATATAAGACTTTCAGATCACAAACTCACAAAGGTAAACACGTGTGTTTGAGGGGACCGCGTATACTACTATTACCACTGGCACTGTCGATATACCTAACTCCTACAATCAATAGGTTGAGTTCTAGGCCGCGCGTGCTATACCACGTGCACTTAACTACACGGCCAATGAAGGTGGCGCAAAGTCTAAAGAATGTTAATAACACTAGTATTGGAAAGAAAGCATGTCATAAGAGGGAATAGACTCTGTCATCATGTCAATATAGAATTAACTTTACGCAATTTACCCAGGATTTTTTTCCCTCTTATTTTATGTTAGTTGACGTAATACAGTTCCGAGAAAATTGCTATTACCATTTTTTTTTTCAATATTTAATAATGATATTGTCTGCAGAGTAAAGGATGATATTATATGTTGGATAACATGGAACTAATATGCTTGGATTTTAAAGTGTTTCCGCAAAAGTGTAGGAAAAATTTGTGTCTTTATACCCGGAAGTTTACAGACCTTGGGTACGTATGGCTAGCTTTTTTCTTTTCTCGTTTTTTGTTTGTTTTTGTTCGATTTATAAACTTAGTAAGGGTAGGGGGGCGGGGGCAATTTTAAAGATAAATTACTTTCTTTGTAGTCTATTAACGGATTAGTAGAATACAACACTTTATGCTCCTAATAGATATGATTTATTTAGGTGATTAGATTGCAAAAAATGAGTAAAAATCATGTAATGTGGTTCGTCGAATTTTGCAAGTCTATATTTTGGGGGTTTCTTAGGGTTTCTTAATTAACTTAAATGGTAAAGTATATTATCTTTATGTAACATAATCAAAAGTACAAGTAACAAAAGAGAAAAATCGGATAAAAGTGAACGAGGGCCTAGCGAATGAACTGAAATTAACGGACGATATAACTGATCTAATTATCATATGGCTTCATATAAATCAAACGTAACTCCTAAACATATATGAAGGTAATTATTAATATTGATATATTGCCCAGGTGTAAATGACGACATCGACATTGTATTTATATAGTATGACAACCTGTATAAAGGTATTAAGGTAACATCTGGTATGTTTATGGACAGCGTTATTCGTAACCACAGTGTTTAAAACCAGAGATTATCTCATAACCACAGTGTTTACGAATCAAGATTGCCCCGTAACCACAGTGTTTACGAATAAATAGTATCTCATAACCACAGTGTTTACTTATAAACATTATCTCATAACCACAGTGTTTACGAATAAAGATTATCTCATAACCTCAGTGTTTACTAATAAAGATTACCTCGTAACCACAGTTTCTACTAATAAAGATTATCTCATAACCACGGTGTTTACGAATAAAGATCACCTCGTAACCACAGTGTTTACGAATAAAGATTACCTCATAACCACAGTGTTTACTAATAAAAATTACCTCGTAACCACAGTGTTTACTAATAAAGATTACCTCGTAACCACAGTGTTTACGAATAAAGATTATCTCATAACCACAAAGATTATCTCATAACCACATTGTTTACGAATAAAGATTATCTCATAACCTCAGTGTTTACTAATAAAGATTATCTCATAACCACGGTGTTTACTAATAAAGATTATCTCATAACCACGGTGTTTACGAATAAAGATTATCTTATAACCACATTGTTTACGAATAAAGATTATCTCATAACCACAAAGATTATCTCATAACCACATTGTTTACGAATAAAGATTATCTCATAACCACATTGTTTACGAATAAAGATTATCTCATAACCACAGTGTTTACGAATAAAGATTATCTCATAACCACAGTGTTTACTAATAAAGATTACCTCGTAACCACAGTTTCTACTAATAAAGATTATCTCATAACCACGGTGTTTACGAATAAAGATCACCTCGTAACCACATTGTTTACTAATAAAGATTACCTCGTAACCACAGTGTTTACTAATAAAGATTACCTCGTAACCACATTTTCTACTAATAAAGATTATCTCATAACCACAGTGTTTACGAATAAAGATTATCTCATAACCACAGTGTTTACTAATAAAGATTATCTCATAACCACGGTGTTTACGAATAAAGATCACCTCGTAACCACATTGTTTACTAATAAAGATTACCTCGTAACCACATTGTTTACTAATAAAGACTACCGCGTAACCACAGAGTTTACTAATAAAGATTATCTCGTAACCACAGTGTTCACGAATGAAGATGACCTTGTAAATACTGTCTTTATGAATACCAAGCCTAGCCCATTACCTCGTAGATACGGTATTTATGAAATAGGATAGGATTATCTTGACCCTAAACCCGAGATAATTTTTATTAGGATTACCCTAACATCGTTATATGTTAGTACAGGTCTGATTTTTTTACCAAACACATATATAATATATTAATAGTGGTTTATATAAATAAGATGTTAAATGGTGCTAATGAGCTTTCTTCAAGTACCGGTAAGCTCCAGCCACCCCAGCCACCATCTCAATTTAGTCTATTTTGTTTTACTGGTTGCTAATAACTAAACAAAATTGCATTTTACGTTTCTGTACCAACTGGTCTAAGGAAGACGGGATTTCGCTAGGCAGTACTACGGCCCACTCTTACTTCGTATCATAACCCCTTGGGGACTTTGTATTTGTAGTACCAATTTGTAAACGGAACCTAGAACGATTAGACGTTTTTCCTTGACATATCCTATGTCCCGAACAACTGACAATGGTCAAACCAGGCCAACGCCTGGATCGAAGAAAGAAACCACTTGATTAGCGAGCCATCACCATACTTACCGAGTTACCGTGGCTTCCTTGTTTACCGGCAAAGAACCATTGGTCCAAAACATATTTAACGATATACGTACTCGCATGAACATAGGACACCCGCTCCTGAGCGGTTTGAAAATGGGGAGATACATACAGATGGAAAAGAAAAACGATATCGCCGAGCGGGGTGAGTTTTGGTAGCTTGTGTTGACAGGGTCACATATTGTTTTAAGTGTGTTTTATTCATCTGTATCCTAGAAACTTTAGTAATGTTTGGGGCATGGTCTGGTATTCCTTTGTATATCAATTTGTGCAAGCAAATTGCGATTTAACAATAATTTATGCATCTACAATTATATACGGATTGTGAGACACCAAGATGGGTATGCTCACTCATTCTAGAAGCTCGAAATATTCATTGAACATATCTCAATATTTTCAAAATATACAAAAAAGACTTTGTAACTCAGACCTTTTAGCCGGTAATTCCCATGCTTAATTTCCCATCAATTTTCCAAAGAATCCATAATATATTGATAGGCTGGTGGATCGAGAAAAAATCAAAGTGAATCAGATGTGTGTTAATTATAAGGAAACAAACTAACGAAGCCTTTGAGAAAGGAAGAGAAAGGAATTGAATGGTGTCTGATCCACACAATAAGTATGTCATAATTTTAGCCAATTGACCACGTATGCAATGCAAGATAATTTTATCTGGACAAAATAAAATTAAAATGTCTAGGGTTGCTGTGCGTGTGCAAGAGATGAAAGTATGAACCAGTAGTAGTTTTACGGCCACTTCAGAAAGATATAGATGTAGCTTGTGGGGCCTTTCAGATTTAAGTGTGTGGTGTTTTTCGCACGATTCCCAATCAGGTGTGGGTAATTAAAGGTCTTATGCCACTTCACATTTATCAGGCGGTGTTTCATTAAGGTTTGGTACCACTTCACATTTAACACTTAGCTTACCATTTGGTTGTATATAAATAACTGCCTTGGTGAATAATGTGTATGTTACCGTACAGTAAATTATATCGCCAATTAGCTAGGTAGTGTGCGGGTGTTGTGTACGAAGCAGGGTATGTATAGGCCTATCATTTATTTGGGACCATCTTTATGTTTTTAAAGCCGACATGCAACGGAATTGTTATATGTGTCGTTCACAGATCTATTTCAATAAGATTTTGATTCTGTATTTAGCAGAAATGCTTGTCATTATAGTAATAGCGAATGGCTACCCCTTTGACACTACTTTGTCATAGGTATTCGAGTAACTGGGGGCTGTGTGTGGGGGGAGTAGTGGTCGAATGGTCTAACATGTGACATTGATTAGTCAAGTGGTGTGGTTTCGATCCCAAGCTTGTACGTGACAAGGAGATGGGGCGCCTGTCCAACCTGGTGATTTTTATCCATGCCCTCCGGATTCCTCCCACCATTTAAGAATTGTACCATATGCTAGTCCCGCAAAGGTTTGTGCGGAGTGGAAGTTAAACCCCATTTCTCGTTCTCCCTTGTATCAGTGACTTTGGTACGTTTCCCTGGTGATGTCCACGTACCGTTACATGTATCTAGTAACACGAGATTTGTCTATACACGATCCTCAGCCTTATTAACTGAATTTATTGGTGCACACCCAATCGATACAATGTATTCTATGAAGTTGCAATTAGCAATCAATAAATGAACATTTAAAAGTCATGGAATATTTAAAATGATCCAGAACAAAGTGATAATTGAAGCATTATTCGTTTGTTTGAAAATCGAAGAATAGGAATATGATTAAAGATCTTTTCTTCCCAGAACAAATGCAATAGATAACATCTGAGTCTTACAATATCAGCTAATGTTCATTTATTTTTTTCAAAACGCACTCCTTGTAAAATCATCCCACCATCCCAAAACCTCTTATGCATAACCACAGAGTTCACAAAAATTCCGCCTACGATTAGATGTTCGGGGCTTTTCGAAATGCAAAAAAAGAGTAATAGCAGATAACTTTTGAGTCATATAATATCAGTTTTAAGAAAATTTAGTTTCTTCAGGACACTCGCCGTGTACAATCACAACACCCTACCGAACCCGTTAAACGCGTAACCAATAGAGCTCAAAAAATAAATGTTCGAATATTTGAATTCGAATAGTTTTTCCATGGTTTTTCGAACTTAATTTTTAGGATTCGTTTTCCGATATCAATTAGAACTAACGGAATTGGTTCTGTTATTTGACAGCTATGAGACATTTACTAATATTAAAGATACATTATGGGGGATTACATAAAGAGTTGGCAGTTGGCAGTTCTCACTATAATAGTTAAAATCTAGATAATGTAAAGGGAATTTGCTGAAAATTTCAGTCAAATTGATCCACTCTGAACCGAAAATTTAGTCATTGAATTTTGGGCCTAGCCTCAATCATCGTTACTAAAGTCGGTACGATAAAAAAAACATAGTCTCGATTATCCAGTTTTTTTGTATTTAATCATGAATGAAAGTTGAGCAGCAGATCGGATTATCATCCAGTAAATATCGCAGGGTAGAGATGACATCGAGAGTTGATTATGGTCGGGATAAGTTAATTAATGTCTAATTAATAATTTAGATAATATTTCAGGCCTTAAGAAAGACCGGCAATAGACAGATTTAGCTCTTGCATAATGTATGTTTAAATCAATGATATCAACTAATATCTAAAAATAAACAAACAGATAATGGAAAAGATATAATTACTAGAAAATTGTAATTGCACCAA